ACAAGGGTGCTTATTACGTGGCCGTTTTCTGTATTGTCCGATCGAGGCTACATGAGGAGCAGCGAAGGCTATTCACAGTTAGTCCTCGAGCTACCTCCGAGTTAGTTCCGAGTTAGCCAGCAACCAATCAGTTGTATTCTGGCATTTGGAGTGTAGTATTTGTGATACTGCAGATAGCAGTAATTGTGAATCTGTAATTTGGGTGATTGTAAGTGCGAATGTGGAATAAAATTCGCTATATCAAATACGGCGTGAAGTTATTTGTCGCGTTATACGTCCAAAACATGTGACAACTGAAGTTATTTGTCGCGTTATACACCCAATACGTGACAATATATATATATATAATTTAGATAAAATCTGTACTTTAGGCTATATTTTTTAAACATGCGCCACTGTCGCCACTGACATGCATTTCAGTTCCCATGAATGAACTGTGCAACAAGAGGTATTGTTGCAACTCTCAGTGGCACATACTGAGAAGGTCTTTATAATTGTCGTATATTTTTCAATACCAGTCCATAGTACACTTTCTAATCACAAAAGTCTTACTTTCAGACCGTTATTAGCCACTTCTTAAACTTCAGTTCCCTTTCACGCCTCTAAAAGTCGGCATACATACGGTATTGTTGGAAACGGTGCAGCACAGAGGGCCTGTCCTATAGTTTTTGCAGTTGTACCTTGTTTCACAACATTGACCCATTTTGTAGCACACAACACAAGCTCTGACATGGATTTTGCTTTGGCACTGTGGCAGCAATGTAGGGCAGTTAACGAGGTGCTTTCATCCTTGCTGGCGAGGCAGTGTATGGGTATGGTGGTCTGCCTAATGGCCTCTCTTCTGTTATACGATATTTTGAAATTAAATTTTCTGTAAGTTTCACTTGAAATTCCATTCTGGTAAAGCTCCCACCCTTTCTGTTAGAGGACATATGAATTCAAGCAGCAGATATCAGTTAAGGCGCAGAAGTTCTTTTGATGGTACCTTTTCAGTCTTTTCCTTGTGCTGTGATAGCTTGTCAAGTATGCATCGCTGAGGTTGTACACACCTACCATCATAGACTTAGAGCCAATGACTACTTTGGGCTCCTCCATGTCTTGCCCTTGAACCCTAGTTGGAACCATTTTGTAATCAAGAGTATTACTTAGAAGACAAATATCTTTTTTGTTTTTCCACTTCATTATCATTAGTCTGTCTTTGTAGACTGAAACATGTTTTCCCTTTTTTAGTTTTGCACCTTGTATTTCAACTGAGACACCCTGTTTTGACACAAGGTTCCCATAGCATCAGTCTATTCGCTGCACTGCATACAAAACAGATCTGGGCTTGAAAACCAGTTGTCCATGATTACACATTCAGTAGGGGAGCCATTAGTTATAGAACTACTTTTGAGCTGTGTGGCTCAGTTTTAGGGACACATTGAAAACGGTATCCTGCCCAATGTAAATAATAAAATTGCATACATAACCAGATTTGGCTTCACACAATTCAAATAATTTTATACCATATCTAGCACATTTTGATGGAATGTACACCTTCCACAAAAAACGTGTCTTCTGCATCATGAGCAACCCATCTATCAACACATCATATTGTGGGGTATATGCACTTCTTATATTTGTCATTTAAGTGATCCAGCATGGGATTGAGTTTATAGAATCTTTCAGAACCACAAGTGGCTTCGTCACAACTTTTGTTGTCAACAAAATGAAAAAAACTTGAGCAGAAGATGAAACCTCTCACTGAACACGATCAAAAATATGGGTGTTTCCAGAAAATAGCTCTTGTTGTCTGGTTTCTGCTGAAGAATGCCTTTAACTTCATTATTGCATTTCTGTTCATCTTATTCCAGTGGTGCGTCCTAGATCTTTGTTTTAGGTTATGCATGTTTTCTAAATCATTTTGGGCACACCGATTTGTTTCTCTGGCTATTACTTCTGCAATTTCTGATGTACAGAACAACTCATAAAATGTTTAAGGGGGATACTGGGGTCTTATGAATCAACATTTAGACCAGGCTTGCCAGTAAATGGAAAATGTGTTTGCTCAGCACCAGAATTTGGCCACATGCCATGCTGCATGCTACTGTTGTCAGTGATATTTTCTTCTTCTTCAGAGCTAACACTTTGTTCCCCACATAATGAAATTTTCACATTTATTTCACTGTCACTACTATGAGGAGCGTTCCACATATAATGCCTCCTATTTTTTTAATGAAAACTACAACAGATATAGAAAGCATAATAATGCAGTTAAATAGAGCAAGATTTCAGCTACTTACAGTTATTTTTCCACATAATCACCACCATTCGTTATGTACTTTTGCCAGCGATGAATAAGAGCCTGTATGCTGCGCCCATAAAAGCCTGTGTCAGCAGAGGCTAGCCACTTTCTTACAGGTGCAATAACAGCATCGTTGTCTGGAAAGTGTTGCCCACGTAGTCCATCTTTCGTAGGCCCAAAGAGATGGAAGTCTGAAGTTGCTAAATCGGGGCTGTAAGGTGGATGTGGCGGGACAGTCCAGCCAAACTTTGCAATGTGCGTAGTGGTCACACAAACTGGTATGTGGTCTAGTGTTACTGTGTTGCAAGCAAAAGGTTTTCTGCTTCTCTCACCTGACTCGGAAAATGTGGGCTATCAGCTTAGTCAGCGTCGTCTTGTAGCATTCAGAATTGACAGTCTCACCAGGCTCCAGGAAATACAACAAAATCACACCCCGCCTATCCCAAAAGACCGTGCACATCACTTTCCATGCTGATGGCTGTGTCTTGAACTTCTTTTTTCTTGGAGAATCTGGATGTCACCACTCCATGGACTGTCTTTTGGATTCCGGCTCGTAGTGGTGACAGCACATCTCATCTCCAGTGATGATGCCGTCCAGAAACTTGTCACCTTCAGCCTCATACTGGTGCAACAGGTCCTGACAGACTTCCATTCGATGAGTTTTGTGGTCCTGTGTAAGCATCCGCGGGACCCACCTGGAACAAACTTCGTGATAATCCAGCTTCCCCAACATCGTTTCCAATTCATTACAGCTGATGTAAGCCATGCACACAGTTCCCTGGTCATTATCCACCGATCTGTATGGATGAGCTGATGGAGGTGCTGTTCATTGTGAGGAGTGGCAGCTGAGCAGGAACACCCAGGGCATGTCTTGTCGCACACTTCACTTTCGCCACTGTTGAAACGCACTACCCACTGCCTCACTGTGTTGACATCCACTGTATCATCTCCATACACCTTTAGCAAGCGTGGAGGGATGTCAGTGGGTGCAATTTGTTTGGCAGTTAGAAATTCAATAACACATCTCTGTTTCATACACACTTCTATGTCAGACACCATTTTGGTAGACTGCTCTGCTGTCGCTATCTGTCGCACAACAACCAGACTAACAGTACATTGTTGGGAAGGCTCAACTTTTACTACAACACCACCAACATCCACCTCAGACGTTACATATTAATACAAAAAACTAGGAGGCATTATATACGGAACACCCTTCATATATTTATGCTCAAAAATATCACTACATTCATTTCTCTTGCAATAGTTCACATAACATCTCTTCATCATCTTGCTAGAATCAGCCACAATGTTTACTAGCAAAAACTTGAACTTGCATGGATGTCACCCACTACAAAGATGTCATGCCCACCACTTAACTGGCTAAAGTAAGTTTGTTATGGAATGTAAAGTCAGAAGTGTGACTATGCAAAGATTTTCTTAGCCTTTAGTTTACAGTGATAACTGAAGAATCATTGGAGCTAGAAATATAATTTTTTTATGAATATGGATTGTAAACATTCATACAAATTATATATAGCTGTTGTTTTGTAAGTGGCCAGTTACAAACAAGGTGATAGTACAAATCCTTACAGCATATGTGAGGCAAAATATTGTTACGTGTTTGGAGTAGGTACTTCCATGGCAATGCAATAACAGTGGGCCACTGCATAGACAGTGCTGAAATAACGAACGCGTTTCCCCGGAGATGAACAACAGAAGGCCGTTGAGTACCACCGGATGAGACGAAACACATTACTGCCATAATCTATAGAGATCATTCCCAAAGCAACGGATTGCTGAACAAGTGAGATCGAACACTGGTGAATGGTATCTCGTATCTGGTCCGCAGAACACCTACATAAGTTGAGAGCGACAGAGCCTTCATACTACAGTTGAAAGATAGCTGCCGCAGGATACAGTTTAAGTGATAAAAATTGTAAGGTGTGTAAGATTGAGTGTCCAATAAAGATTCACTGAATCTGAGACCCATGCGAATTTATTTTTCGCGTGACACATACCCAACACACGACAACTGGTGTTAGAACCGGGATCAGTCTGGAGTCTGAAGCGAATTTAAAAGATTGGACTTACACACGTGCTAAAATGGAGATACAGCAGATGATGGAACTGCTGCTGAAGGAATTCAGAGCCGACAAGGAAGAAAGGAAGGCCGAAATTAGTGCATGGCGAGAAGAGATGGCTGCCATGACAGACAAATGGGGGAATGATAGCCACAAGAAGATAGTGGCCGAAAATGGCATAAAGACAGGCTGCCAAGAAGGGGAGAAGCCGACCTCACCAGACAGGAGACCTGAGGTGGCACAGAAGGAAGAGGTACCCGTAGAAGATGCCGAAGTAATGCTGGTCGGAGAACCGAAGAAGAAAAGGCTCAGGGACCGAAAACTGGCCATGGGGCACCACCACGAGAAACCAAAGGATTCAACACGTCGTGCGAAAGTGGCACGGAAAACACTAACCGACATTAGGATGTCCCATCGTGCAACAGTGGCACAACGCATGAGAGACATCCTCTGGCTGAACAAGCCCTGCCATGCGGCAGTGGCACGGCACAGGGGACACATAATTGGAAACAACCAGACCGGGAACAGTGTTGCAGGAGGAGCCCCCAGAGGGCGGAGACTTCAGGTGGAACCGGACAGCAGCAGTGGAGTAAAGAAGGAATACACAAGACAAAGGCTGCATCCAGGGAACGAGGGAACAGCCAACTGACCCCTTAGGAAGACCCAAGGGCTGGGGATCGGGCAACAAGCGGTAGGAATTTCCAGCAGATTGCAGGGCACCAAAAATTGGACAATGTGGAGGGGTTGACCCCCTCCAAAATGGAAGAAAGGAAACGGCACATATGTGAGGAACCGGTAACGTAGAAGTACTGGCCTCCCCAGTAAGGATGAATGGAGAATGAAAGTGAAGAATGAATGCAAGACAATGGGACCGACAACCGCTGGACCTTGGAAGTGCTCGGGGCGAGCACTGTGGAAGAAGGGGGGCAGATGGAAGGAAGGCGAAACGCCGAAGAAAAGGCGGAGGTAACATGCGGAAGATGAACACCTTAGGAAACGAAACCAAGGATGCACCGTTAGGCTGTTCTGGATGAACAACCTTTAGAAGGGTGCAATGTAACGTGTTTGGAGTAGATACTTCCATGGCAACGCAATAACAGTGGGCCGCTGCGTAGACTATGCCGAAACAACAAACGCGTTTCCCCGGAGATGAACAACAGAAGGCCGTTGAGTACCAACGGATGAGACGAAACATGTTACCGCCATAATCTATAGAGATCATTCCTGAAGCAACAGATTGCCCAGCAAGTGAGATTGAACCTTGGCAAATGGTGTCTCGTATCTGGCCCACAGAACACCTACATAAGGTGAGCGCGACAGAGCCTTCATACTACAGTTGAGATCTAGCCTTCATGGAACACATTTGGAACCTAGTCACCATACAACACAGTTGAAAGATAGCCGCCGCAGGATACAGTTGAAGTGATAACAATTGTAAGGTGTGTAAGATTGAGTGTCCAATAAAGATTTGCTGAATCCGAGACCCACGTGAATTTATTTGTCTCATGACACATACCCAACACGTGACAATATTGTATATTAAGCAATGAATTATGGAAACTGTAATTCAAAAATGTTTCCAGTTACGTGCAGCAATTTGTCAGGCGTAGTTTGCATGTATAGTACATTTATATACTGTATGAAATTTTATATAGTTTTGAAAATTTGAAGAACGGCTGTATTTGTGCCTTCAGCATTTTCCATGGCAGTGTTGTTTCAAACTTGTGCAAGGAATGTATCATTTTGGAAATTTCATTTTGCTGTTAATCTTTTATAGATGATGAGCTGGATGACAACCCAAATCAATCAGACCTGATTGAGCAAGCAGCAGAAATGCTGTATGGTTTAATCCATGCACGTTACATTCTAACAAATCGTGGCATAGGTCAGATGATAGAAAAATACCAGTCTGGAGATTTCGGCCATTGTCCAAGAGTATATTGCGAAAGTCAACCTATGCTCCCAATAGGTGAGTACAGGAACAAATGCATGCCAGTGTGATAATATACATTTACTCTGTGAGTTGCTAATCAGACTTTGCTGTAAAGTGCACTAAAACTTGATAAAATCTTCACAGGCTATTGGCCATGTTAGTTGGTTAGAAATTACCAATATTTCAATGTCAGTCTCTGTTCCCATCATCAGGGTCTGATGATGGGGCATCTTAGTAGTCTCCCTGGTTCCATAAAGTAATATCCCAAGTCATGATATCTTAAAATAACCAAGGCCTCACAATGACGTAAGACATATGAGGGTATTTAATTTTTTAAACTTAACCATCACTATCATCTGGGACTAGCTCTATTGATCAGGCTCATATTTGTTTTACCTGAGGATGGAGGCAGAGCCTGACCTCCAAAATATTGTTGTAAATAAAATACAGGACAACGTCCAAAAAAGTCAATAATTGTATTAATATACCATCGTCACAAACTTTTAAATCTTATTTCAGCTTTGTTCAAGCACTTTTCACAAGTGGGATTGTTCTTCAAGCAAGGGTTAGGATAATGGGGCAGGAATTTCCACACCTGCTGGTTGCCAACATTTGTTGCCATCTCACAAGTGAATGGGTTCCAGCAAAAAAAGCTGAAGACAAAGGCAGTCCTGCATTGTAGGTTGTCCTTCACCTGGGGTTCACTCTTATACTGTGTAGAAGCTATCATGATAATATTATTGGTTTTTAGGTTTTCCTCACTTGTCTTCTTGGATATGTTGCTGTCCTTCTATGTGTGTTTATGTCATATATATTCCTGGTTACAATGTAGACTTGTTGGTGTTTATGTTAGCATTGTGTTGACGGCCAAATTTCACCAGCCATGATATGCAACAAGATGCAAACAGTGAAGAGCATTTACAATGTTTTACGAAATTCTGTTACACAATTATGAAAGATGACTCAGATGGGAGAGATACTCTTGATATGCCATTTCCTTCAATCTTGTGAAGAGTGTGATGCCAGTTTTAAATTAACAGTCAGGTAATACAATTCTGACTTTGTGTTCTGCTTTTTTGCCATCTGTATGCAACGTCAGTTAATATTCTCTCATCCTTTTGTCTTTATTGACACCACATATTTTGGCCTAACTGGCCATCATCACATGTACAGATTGTGATGAAGCAACCTGTTGCTCACTCTAATGCTGTTCTGCTCTTCTTGCTTCAGGTTCCAGGTTATGTGGGTTAACCAGTTGTTCAAGAACACCCACATAAAACAGCTGGTAAACCCACATAACCTAGAATTTGAGGCAACTGTATAAGAAAAGCAGAACAGCATTATGGAGCACAGATGGCAATGAGGCTCTCAGCCTTATGTGCAGCTACCATTTATCCCAAGGAAGACTCCTGGTAATCATTTCTGTTGGAGGCTGAGTCGACCCCAGGACCATAGTCCAGTTGGAAGGATCAGGTCAGTAAATAAATCCAATGACCTCATCAGGAATCAAACATGTGGCCTTCTGGCTTGTAGCATAGTTCCACAACCAACTACAGTACAACATGCCCCAATTTAATATTAAGTAATACAGTATTTTTTTTTTGGCCAGTGTGCAGTAAAGGAGGGAAGGAAAAAGGCACTTGTGAAAAGCAGACTGGGGAAAGGGTGANAAACCGGTTAATCCGCCCCCGGATAATCGAGAGTTGACTGTATTCCCAAAACCTGTCTAGTAATTGCCTCCCCTGTGTGCTTACTGTTCCCTACTCCCATCAAGTGTCACTTGTGTTCAGGCTATCTCATTGCAGGTATGATTGTCCCAGTGAAAATAGATCGGCTTCCTCCTCTCACAGCAGGAAGGCGATCTTTTGCTATCGGTGCAGAGGGCAAGGCAACCAGCAATAATCCTGTCACCCATTTTATTGTTTTTCTGACTCAGTTGGTGTTTTTTATACCAGAAAACATTTTGTGGATGTAACTCACGTGCTGCAGACATGTCCTACAGATCCTAGCCACGTAGCAATACAACCACCTTTTTTTAAATTGTTTCTATATTCTTATATCCAAAGACATGTTATATAGTCTAATAACTATGGAAATGAAACTGCTCAGTCATGTTCCTATGGACCACAGGATTATCAGATGTTCCGGGTGAGGCCATGGTAAAATCCTATTGTCCTAAGTGCATGGATGTGTATACGCCAAAGTCATCACGACATCATCATACAGATGGTGCATATTTTGGTACTGGATTTCCTCAGATGCTTTTCATGGTTCATCCAGAGTACCGGCCAAAACGACCTTCTAATCAGTTTGTTCCAAGGTTAGTATAAACATTTTATTCAATTAACCCTTTTGCGCGGTGATTTAAATTCCGCGGCCGTCTCTCCGGCGGTAATATATTCAGCCGGCCATTTAAATTTTGCTCGAAAATGATTTATTCATCATTGTTCTTAAATTATATGAGATTTGAACATGAAACTTTCACTAAAATGATCTTAAAAGGTGATTTTATAACCTTACCTTATAATATGAGCGCCCTGTATCTCGGCAATGGAAGCAGGTTGTTTCGTATTTGAGCAGTGAATGGTACGCCTTGAAGCATGAAACTTTCACTAAAATGATCTTAAAAGATGGTTTTTATAACCTTACCTTATAATATGAGCGCCCGTTATCTCGGCAATGGAAGCAGGTGTTTAGAATTTGAGCACTGTAAGGTAGGCCTTGAAGCATTCTTCTAACACAACGCTGCCCCACATTCACCGCTCCAATATTGTGTATCTTTTCTTTGGCGCTTTTTTTAACCACACATCTTCTGTGCGGCTTTGCCTTCTTCCCCGTTAGGGGTATACGTTCAAGGAAATGTCTTTCCGTGAGCTGTTTAGTTGCCAGGTCAGCTGTAGTAAATTCAACGTTACGAGTTATCATAACAAGGGGTTGTTGCTATGCCTTTGATATTCCATCCATTTTGGCGGCAGTAGATGTCGTAGGGGTGACCACAGAATTCATGAAGTTATTCTAAGAACTGACTGGTATGTAGTGCACGAAAGCAGAGCTTAGCTGGCTCAAAAAAAAATATTTATGGTCATCCCTCGAAACGACCACCAAGGTCAGTACGATAAAATGGCGTCAACTGGAGAGATAATACATGAAGGAATGAGTTCTTTCCCCCCCACACACACACCAGTATCGTCATAGGGGGTGACCACAGTGTTTTGCCTTAATTCGTGACGTTTTTCCAAGAACTCGCTGCTATGTACTGTGCGAAATCAATAGATCTTGCAAGAATAAAATTTGGACATCCATCTTCTAAGAATTCCAATTGAGTGTGTTAGTGTGGCCAGCTCAGGGCAATATGATATTATAAACACAGCACATATCACGTCTCTGCTGTTTATAAATTCATAGGAAAGAAAACACGCCATCCATAACAGTTGGACCGACTAAACCTCTCCCAAGAGCAACAGGAACTTTGCTGCAAGACAGGCATATGTAACGAATTAGCGCAGCAAAACTCGTGTGTCATTAAATACGGTACTCCTGACAACAGGCCAGTGAAAAATCTAACAATCTACAGCAAATCCATCAATTATTATGGGCGTTATAACATAGGTGTGCAGCTGGACGAAACATAGACGTCGAACCCCCGCAGACGATTTAAATACCTGACGAAACATACACCTCAAACCACGCTGAACGGTTAAATCATGTGTGTCTGAACTTCTGATGCTTTAGACACTGGGATTATTCATTTCCATCCCATAGGCATGTTTCAAGTGTGTTATCAGTGCAGATGAAGGTAATAGTGTCTTTTCCCTGGTAAGCATTCCAACTTTGCATTTTCTGAACATTTAAAGAAACTCCTGGTCACAGTCCTTTCATTCATGTTAGATATCTGGTAGGTCCTTGTGTGTTGATATGAGTTAAATGTCTGTTATTAGATTTGAGAGAGGAGGAACAGTATGTGGCTGAGGAAGGTGCTTTAGGATATTAGTAAAATGATAAGAAAGTGTTTCAAAAGTTAAATATTTTATTGTGGCATAATTTAGATGTGTTTGGAGGACAGTGATAATAGGTTATTTTTTTGTTAATATGGATTATAGACCCATTGCTAGGCAGCGGCCCATGCACAACAATGGAAGTACTGTTAGAAGAGGTGTTTTCTATGTAGTCCACCCCGAGGCCATATGACTCGACTGACTACATATTATGAAGAAATTACGTATATGATAATGATTTTTATTTGAAAGTGATGGAAGTAATGGGCCTTAGTAAAGAAGAAAATGGGAAAGACAGGGAAATAAGATTGAATGTAATGTGCATGGGTCAGTGAAGCAGATAAGGTAAAAGCAATATATTGAGAGACATAGAGGGACAGCCTTTGGGAATGACGATAACAAATCAAAACCTGATTCAGGAGGAAATTAAGAGGAGATTGAGCTCGGGTAATGCTTGCTACCATTCAGTCAGAACCTTTTGTCTTCTCGTCTGCTGTCCAAAAACATAAAAATTAGAATATACAAAACTATAATTTTGCCTGTGGTTCTGCATGGGTGTGCAACTTGGTCTCTGACTTTAAGGGAGAAACATAGACTGAGGGTACTTCTTTTGGCTTATTTTGGAATTCACCCATCGTCTGGTATGTAAAAGACAAAAGACCACAACGTTTCGGAGACTGGATCTGTCTCCGTCTGCAGGTGGCTAGGGAAATGTCGTGGTCTTTTGTCTTTTACATACCAGACGATGGGTGAAGTCCAAAATAAGCCAAAAGAAGTATAGTATACACCATCGTCAGAATCCTTTCAAGTCCATAGACTGAGGGTGTTTGAGAACAGGGTGCTGAGGCGAATATTTGGACCGAAGAGGGATGAAGTGACAGGAGGTTGGAGAAAACTGCACAATGAGGTGGACAGGGCTTGTGGCATGATGAATGGGGAAGAAGAGGAATGCATATAGGATATTGGTGGGAAAGCCAGAAGGAAAGAGACCACTAAGAAGACCAAGACATAGGTGGTGGACAATATTAAAATGGATGTTAGAGAGATAGGATAGAATGGGATGGTATGGATTGGATTGATCTGGCTGAGGTTAGGGACCAGTGGAAGGCGCTTATAAACATGGCAGTGAACCTTTTGGTTCCATAAAATGGTGGGAGGTTCTTGAGTAGTTGCACAATTGGCAGCTTCTCAAGAAGGACTCAGCTCCATGAGTGAGTGAGAGAGAGTCACAAAATAGGTCACAAGTGAATATAAAACATAAACATACGATATGCGAACCGGGGAAAAGCATTTCTTTCTCAACATATCCTCCACCGACATTGATACACTTGCCCTATTGCCTTACCAGTGTGTTGAATCCTGCAGCATAGAAGTCTTTCTGACTGGTGCCTTAGACACTTCTGCATCTCTGTTTTGACCTCTTTATCCTTGAGAGAATTTCTTGACCCATTTTTTAAAAACTTTACGTGACAAACACTTCCCACCATAAACAGGAAACATTGTTTTGTGAATAACCTTTGCATTGAGTCCTTTTGCCCACAAAAACACCCATCAGAACACAGCTCTACAGTAATATACTCCTTAAGCATGGTCATCATTTGGACTACTGAAACCAACCTCTGAACATGCACCTGCACGTCTGCTACCCAGACAGTTATGAAGCTGGACTGTGCTGCTACCTAGTTATACACACAGGAAACTTATTACATCCATTACAGCTGTTTTACTTCCATTTGTGACCTATTTACTGACTCTCCCTCATGCTGTTGTAACATACAACTGATAAAAAAGGAGTCTGTCCTGTTAAAAGCCTCAGTGTTATGCACTAAGATTCTGTTGTATCACACACAACATAATGAACTAAACTAGAAGTGTTTCACTCGGATTACGTCACAGTCCAGCTCTTATAAACAGCACACCGCAGGGAAACAGAGTTGCAAGTGAAAATGCCTACACCATCTGCCGGTATGTTAAGAGTGCTTTCGGAAATTAAAACATAACCTTATCAAGGCTCACTACAAATTTAGAGCCTTGTATAGGGGAAGAGACCACCAGTATTGCTAGGGTAAGCTGAGTTGCCAAGTAGTTCCCACATTGGTTGATTTTATTATGCTTACTGTCTTCTGATTGAAAATTATATGAACTGTGATTTAGTATGAGCCTTTAACCGACTATTATAATTTCTGTGTATTCTTTTGTTAGCAAATGCATAGACAGCGGATGTGTTAAATGGGAGCATATGTTTTAGTATGCGAGGTATATTGTCCCTTGTCAGTAGGGTCCCCCCCCCCTTGTCAGTAGCTAGGTTGTATAGCATTGAGGACGGGTAAAGGTGAAGTTGTCCCCTGTGCTTATCTAATTAAGCACTACACCATAAAGGTGTATGGGGGAGTGGATGTATAGACCCAAGTTTTTTTTACCATTTTCACTAGCTGGAGCTTCACGCCCCGGCCGCTTTACCCCTGGGGAAAGAGCCCCCTCTAGTACCCATTGAATAGGAGGTTGGGTCGTCCCCAGAGCTAGTCTGGACAAGAATGAGAAGTGAAAATTCTTGACCCTATCAGGACTTGAACTCCAAGACCCCAGTTGTCCAGCCTGTAGCCAGTCACTAAACCGACTGCACCATCCCGGCTCTTCATGCATTGAAGACAGGATACTTGATAAATTTGGAAAGCATAAGGAAACTTTCGTGGCCTAATCATGTTACTATTCTCTCCTTTGTCTGGAGGCACGTAGGAAAACCATGAATGACATCAATCGGGATAGCCGATGCTCCAGCTGAGATTCAAACTGAATACCTCCCAAATACAATTCCAGAGCATTACTGAATCAACGTTCTCACTGCAACTTGTTTTGTAATGAAGGTTTTTGTTAATAATCAGTTTATGTTTCACTTTGTAGGTTGTATGGGTTCAAGATTCATCCCCTGGCATACCAGATTCAGCAGCAAGCATCGTCAAATTTTAAGGCACCACTCAGGGCCCTAAGTTACAACAACGGAAAGCGCTGAAAGAACAAAAGCAAGGGCATTGCAGATTCACCACCACAGCGTTCCGAGACTTGTGATGTGATGTCATGTAACTGAAACATAAACAACTCGTAGATTTGCAAGTGATAAAACACAGGGACACTTATGATTATTTTCAAATTTGTGAGCATGTGCAACATATGTCTTCATTATGCAACCATATACCAATAAATCAAAATTGATAAGTGTAAGTCAAACTTGCTGGAAGTTTCCTGTCAAGCAGCTCTGTTACTTTACTTCACTTCTGCTGCTCCTCCAAAGACAGTGACATTATTTAGTTTTATGCTTAACATAGGCTGAGGTAATTATCCAGCACTGTTATGTAATGAAACAGTAAGAACTCTGAAATCTGTATCAGCTGGTGCACATTCAGAAGACATTTATGTTCTTTGTATTTAAAGTATTTAATTTGTTCCCCCATTTTTTAATGTTCATATGAAGTAACTGAAAAGAATCCCTGTAAAACAACACAGTAAATGCATAATATGGATGTGGAACGTAGAGAGGCAGGCTACACCACTAATAGTGAAGGATGGTCAAGTACTGTTTTGTACTGTGCTTTGTGCATTACAATATACCAGTTTATAAATGCTGCATTTTTGTCTTTATTGTGACAGTTAAATTTTTTGAGAACCCTGCACATCACCTTGCCTTGGTGCACATGCACCGTGTCTGAAATGTCTTTCATGATGTAGATCATTATGCAACCAGTCACAGTGTCTGCACGGTTTGAGGCATGAACTGTCTCTGCCCCCTCTGAAACTGGGATCGTGGGTTCAAATCTTGTTCTGTGTAGGTAGCAGCCTTGCATCGGGCTGATCCCCCATCCAAGGAGTCCTACTGTGTATAGATTAAGAAACTGAGAAAGAGATCAAAGTCCAAAAGGCTATAGAGCCATAGAGAGATTATGCATCATTAGAAAGTTACTAGTTACTGTTTTCAGCATATGATGGATAAAGTTACAGCATTCATAAATCAGCCACTGGTTAAGTGAGAAGTCACCACGGCATCTCCTTGGAAAATCGGGAATTATATTTCTGTTCTCGACTATTTTCTAATATTTCAGTAGTGTAGTGTGGTTCCTTTTACGCTTACAAGTTAAAATGGTCACATCCATTGTGTATGTGCATGTTAGAGCTTCCGAAACTGCTGAGCTGCCCATGCTGAAGAGTTGGATATTCCTATAAAGTCTGGGTGAGGAGCTGATACCTGTTGCCTGACACATTGTAGATGCTGCAAATGCCGTATACTGTTAGGCTGTATGCTTACTGAAGGGAAGTCAGTTGGAACTAAAGCTAGATAGAACATTCTCCATGAAAATCCCTACCTTGACTGGGAGACTGGACATTTGCTTCTAGTAATTTGTTCCCATATTTAGATTACTTCGATAGCAATGCACGTATCACAGTCACTGCATTCAGAGATGACAGATGCATGATGCAAAGCAAGCAATCAGAGAAGGCAGAGATTGGCAACTACTTCTACCAGTGGCAGATCTTTAGGCCCAGTGGGGAAAGGCAAAAAGTAGCTTCACAATTTCTGTCAAAACAGTAAAAGGGACAGATGAGAACGCTACTTTGAAAGGTACTACAGGAATGGCTCATCTCCGTGGCTGTGCGAGATAAAAACGAACCGTTGAGCCTTCATGTTAATAAACCGTATGACAGTAGGCCACTCCAGTCTTAAAGCAAGCTTAAGTACATTTAACATTGTGTCCATGGCTGAATGCAAATGTGGTGACAGGCTGAAAACAGAGAAGCATTATCTCCTTGGACAAGTATCGTTTTTGGGCATTATCCATCATTCTGTCTTTTATCAAAAAACACCATCCTGTTTATTTTTCAAAACACAACATCTCAGAGACTGGATTCTGTCTATCTTCAGGTGGGCCCAATCGATAGAGCTAGGGACTATGGCAATGCAGTTTCCTCAATTTGCACTGCTCCATGCAGTTACATGTGTTCAACTCTGGCTGCTAACAATTCTCGGAGATTGTTGTTGCGTTGCAGTTGCCACTTTCCTTGGTATGCCCTTGCCCTAAGGGTGGATAATCAACCAGTTTGTGGGGTTGCACAGTTCATATTTTTAAAGTATCTCAAGTTAAACATACTGCCAAATAATAAACAGTACGGATTCTATTTCTCATCTGTAGCCTAAAAATGTAAAAATGAGAATATATGAACTATGTCTGTGGTTTTGTGTGGGTATGAAACAGGGTGCTGAAGAGAATATTTATATGAATGAAATGGTAGGAGGTTCCAGAAAATTACATAATGAAAAGCATAACTTGTATTCCTCACCATATATAATTGTAAAAAGTTGAGATGGACAGTGCATGTACATCTGGACAACAGGTCTGCATATATAGGAGTTTGGTGGGAAAGCTGGAAGGAAAGAGACCACTAGGAAGATCCAAACATCAGTGGGATTATATTAAAATGAATCTTAGAGAGGTAGGATGGGGCAGCATGGACTGGATTCATCTGGCTCAGGACAGGGACCAGTAGAGGACTCTTGTGAACACAATAATGAACATTCTGGTTCCATGAAATGTTGGAAATTTCTTGAGTAGCTGAGTGGCAGCTTTCTGGCAACAGTTTGTTTTGAAGAAACCATGGGGATGGTTGTAAACAAACACAATAAAGCAGAAATACATAAAGTGATTTATTTAAGTCTAGAATAAATATTTCTGTAATGTGAGCTTTAAAAAAATTGACTGTTAGCAGAACCTGGAATTTATATAATACAACTGGCATCAACATTTTTTTTACTTTCCAACACAAAATAAAAAAGTAGTCTGTGGTTACAAAAAATATATATATGTACACTGTGCTACCTAATTATAAAAACAATTAATTAAATTAATATCATGAGTCTAAAACCCTACAAAGGGAAACTGGTTAAAGGACATATTCTGATATGTGGAAAATTTGTTACTGGAACTATTTATCATTGTAGCTGCCTTCTAATCTGCAAATATGTACTAAACTGACCATGTACGTTACTATATTTCTTCTTACAAAGAACTGATATGAAATATTTTAATTGGGGCAATCAAATGTTACATTGGAAAACATTCTGTGGCACACAAAACTAACAGTACCTATGAACTGACGTTAGCACCATGATACAAATTTAGTTTTTACATCTTGTAACCTAAGGTAGAAAAAATAGCCTTTCAGACAGTTCCAAGTGAAACCAGTTTAAGCTGGTAAATGATGCATGGAATTATAATCGGGGATATTTCTTTGGCCAGTCAAGGGCATGCCACTATCTCCTGCCACTGATCTGTCTGGCTACCTGTGTCGTTCCCTGTTATTAAGTAGAACTCTCAGGGAGGAGAGAAAAGTGTGGGGTAAAGGGATGATGACTGGCCAAAAAAAACTGTCCTGGACTATAACATGTATTTTATGATGTGAATATTTTCATATTTATATAATCAGGGCTCCAAAAATGTTTAGTTTTCAACATTTGCTATAGAACTTCCTGTGATAAAATTTCAAGCAGCAATAGAAATTTTAATATTGCATTTCAAATTAATGTGCTGGCATTTATGTCTCTTCTGCCTAGTGTCAGTTGCAAGTAAATCAAATGATTTCACTTTACACATTTGAGACCCATACTTTTATATCATTTAAATTTCCATTCTTCTGATTTTTTGAAGCCCTGATTGAATCTTATTTTGCAGACTGTTACTATTTCGTATGACTGAAACATACACATGCTTCTCAATTAGTCTATTAGGAAATGTTTTATAACATAATTTTTCTTAGTTATACTTGTAATATATGAAAATTTTATAAGGGAGCATGTATTACCCTTATTTCAGGCAAATACAGAAACATGAACTACTTATATGATAAAATATGAGTAAGAAAGTGTAATAGTCTTGAACCCCTACCACATCTATAAGGAGTACTCAATATTCATATATAAATGCAAAATGTCTGTAAGTACATGTGACTGACTGATAAAACCACGTGCACATAGCCCTCTTCACATTGTTGTCAGGTACTAATCTAATCCACTGCATTCTCGTTATGACTTGACTGGTCTTACATTTGCACACAACCAATAAATTAAACACGAATGTAACAGTTTTGCTGGGGTTGGAACACCACGCAGTTTATAAGCGAACCAAGACCAGCAGTAGCAGGTGACAAGCTCAGACTAGTGACATATCCCTCTGAAATGTTGTGATCACACTGAACTAAAATGGTTACAACCCAGAACACAATTCCATGGAGTAAGCACTGTGTATTTTATTCAATGTACGAAAATATATTCCCATGAAACTTCAGTTGCAGGAAGACAGGATATGCATCTATTCTGCCAGGGTTATTCAAACCGGCATGAAAAGAATCCTGAACTGTCCGACATGAGGCCCACATGTGCAAGCCTCTCAGCAGCTAAAGCAAAGGATTCTCTTGCAGATCTGAATCTGTATGCTGGATCACATGCTATTCCATGAGCTCAGCCTGAAACGAAACTGCTCAGTCCCAAAAATAAGATAAGCATATTGAAAATTAATAACATAATCCACTGCCAAGTTAAATGATGTATGTACGGGTAGATCTTCATTGCATCACCAATAAACATCAATATTCAAGTGGGAGACGAGAATATCACATGCAAGTTTCTTGTAAACACTGTTTGGCTGTGATGGACTGGACATGTAGCTGGTATGGACAACATAAGGAATGCATACAGATTTTTTGTGGGGAAGCTCTAGGAAATGGGCCTTATGAAAGGCCAAGGAATGGGATAATAATGTGGACTTTTGTCATCAGATATGTAATATAAAATTATCTAAAAACTTATTTGTGTTTGCTGAATGTGAGACAAATAGAGAATGTTATTTAAGCTTTCATAATGGTCTGAAAGTATCACCAGCTATCATAATGAGAGTTCTCAGTGTAATATATGATCTAAAATCTGACTGGCAACAGCTCCAATGATTTACATAGCAGAATGTAAGCTGAAATAATTTTGGAATGATTATATAAGCAGGATTTCCTGTGCTGTGAAGTTGGGAACTGTTCCTGGCTCAACACACAAGAATCTAGTAATTGGGAACCATTACTACACAGCACAGAATTCACAAAACAGCTAGGACCATTATTTGGGGGGGGAACAAGGAATAAAAAGGAAGACAGTGTGTTGGTGGGCATTTTCATTTTATGACAGTCAGGGCCCATCATTTGGTTTTGTTTTGGCAAGTTTGCAGGTTCTGTTTTCTTGCAGAAGAGTGTACTCTGTTCTGGGATAGAATGTCATATAGTTTCAAAGGAATCTACTACCTCCATCTTCAGGTTAAACATGGAGTTCATACATTCCTCCAGAACATCTACTGGACTATGTTTTGTCTCATCCCAGGAGATGGTACTCCACAGCATCACAAATACAGAGGGTTTGTAGATAACATACATGACCTTTACTTCTAAAATGTCATCATGGTGTCGTCTCTACCTTTAACCCAGTTTCTTTCAAACTCATAAGTTTGGCACATACAAATACAGCCGTGAGCTCCAACTACAGTAATTAAGACCAGTTTCATTGCTAAAAGAATGCCACGAGACATTCAAATCCAAGTACATGTCTGATAATGTGCGACATGTAATACAAAGCATTCAGGTAACTGCACTGTTACATTACGATCCCATGATCGTGCCAGAAATCAAACCTGGTCTCTTCAGTCTGTAGCCTAACTTTTCTTCTTTCTATCTTTCAAAAAGTTAATTTTTAAACCAAATTTTCAGAAATGAAACTTAACATATGAAGCTTGTAGAATAATCTGAACTTTGTTGCCATCTGCAATGTAATCAAACAAAACAGGATATTCTGACCAAGCCCACTTTTTAGTTTCCTGCAGTACTTGAAAATGATTAGGAGGTTCTTTGTTAAAATTTCAGTTGTGGTATGAACTCTTCTATCAAAGCTTTGTGAAGTTATCTATGATTCCCCGAAGGAAATGCTAAAAATCATGGTGCTCTGAAATAGGCATGTGCCTCCTGTTATATTTTTTGTGCTGTTGTAATTTCATAAATAGTTTTCTACAAGCCAGCCTTAACAAATTCTGTTGAACCCAAACTCCAAAAACAAAAAAGGTAAACTGTGCCAATAAAAAGAAAACAAAAATGAAAAGTCTGAGCTTCTGTACAGTCATGAAAGATAACGAAAAACAGACATGAAAAATTCAAAAACAGCCCATATATCTGATGCTAAACTTCCACACAACTATTTAGCTTTCAGCTGTAACTTCCTCTAAATTTTATGTTCTTTATTCAAAACCGACTTAATGTCAACGTACAACTACTGCCCATTGCGATAAATAAAAAAAAATAAAAAAGGATCATTTTTAAAATAAATTTAGCAATAAAACCTTCATCAATCCTGTCTTATATGCCACAAGACATGTCTCGTGTGCCACAAGCCACCATATAACAATGCTGCATCACACACAGATTAAAGAAAATGGCTATGGCATAACAGGATAAATACAGAAACATCATCATGTCAGATTCATGCGAAACCCTATACGTACTAAATACAAGAAACTTTTCTGATTAGCTGTGGCAAATGTAGACCAGAACATAAAGGGGGAAGGGTAAAAGGGGTGGGGATGACTCACTTTAACACAACAGAACTTCACACCATCACCGTTGCCTTCACTTGTTCTCTGAGGTAGCTGCACTATGCATTACTTTTCCCACCACATCACCACTGTATGTCTTCATACTGTCACTCGCATCTACTGGAAACACAGTGTTCCCTCTTTGGTGACAAATCCGAGGCACACCCAACTTTTCATTCAGAAAATAAAATATGTCACAATGGATTCACATCACATGCAATATACATTAAAAGCCTCTGACATTTAAAACCAGAAGAACTTTTGAATAGAATAAGAACAGTTTAAAACAACAGTGAATATACAACAGAAAGAACAAAGAGTTTTCAAGAAACTTCATCCCTGAAGTATGTTACATAACATTCTGCCTATGAAGTCAGTACAGAGTAACTGAAAGAAGTTAATCCCCGATGAAGTTTGGAACAACTCTTTGTACTCCCAATGCACCAATTATTAATAGTAGTTTCATATAACCGATTCAAAGATTAAATGCTAATAATCATTTTAAGCATATAAAAACATAATGAAAACTGAAATTGAAGTGTAAAATTCATTTATGTTTCTATCTTCCGCACCCATTCATTAATAATTTACACCTTCACACAAACAGTCTACATTCCAGGACTCTCTGTTCCTTCCTTCTGTAGGCATGCTGCATGGCATGGAACTGGCAGATAAAATTAATGTCCAGTTCTAAATATCAGCCTCTTTCTCCAGAAATAGATTTTAACAATAAAAAGAAATATTGTACCAGAGCACACAGTTTGTCATGTGACGTGTTGTGAATCCACTGCATAAGATGTTCCTTTTAAAATACACAAAAACAAACAAGACACTACATATATATATACATGTGTGTCATGGGTTTAGTGGTGACCTTACAATTTGACAATACTGAATTCCCTAAGCCACCTGTAACACTGTACTGTCTGTGCAGGCTCAAATTGCTGTTACAGCATCATACAGTCACTTGCAAGGTTCAAGATCACAACAATGAAACTTCAAGCAGGGCTGCAGCCTATGTTAGCAGATGGAAATTTATTGATCATGCCTCTACTTCAATTGCAGATTTACTAATGTGGCAGAAACTGATTGACTGTTCAAATCAGATGTTTCCATAACCCTTTATTGGCCAACCACAAGTTTCTCTGATAGCCTGTTCAACAACATGTCTTCATCTGTACTTTGTTCAACAGGGTAACTGTCTTGCAATTGACAGTTTTTAATAGGGGCAAAATGATTTTATAAAAGCTATCATTAAAGAAAGTGCCTTATTATTTCTGTGAAATGTCAGAGATGTTAGTTTATTATTCATAAAGCATTACTGAAAGCACCAAGAATTAATGAGATTTCTTTACTCACAGCAGCAAACTCCATGAAGACAGTGATATAGTTCAATCACATCTCAGAATGTTTACTACACAAAATCTTTACTTTATCTGAAATCCATGGTTTACCAAGTTGAATGAAAATACATCAGGACCTTCTGCTGTAGTTCCTATTTACTTTCCCTACCAAACATAGTTAAGATTTTTAAAAGGTTATGGAATGAAATTTCAATGTGATCTTGATACAAGTGAAGTCATTTCAACAAGTGGAATGCAATAAGACACAGCCCAAATTGAATTCTGATTTCCATAACATATCCAAATTTCAGAAACTTTTGAACTTGTCAAATGATCTTCAATTTAATCCTCAAAAATGCTGTTCACAGCATAATCTGCATGTAACATTGAGACCCACTTGCACATCCAATTATATTCATCACCCCCCAAACATTCTATTTACTTTTCATATGCAGGCTAAGTCACATCACATAGACCTGCTATGTATGAACTTGCAAGCTCGATCATCTGTCTGAACCAACAGACAATGTTTTTGTTTCTTGGCCCACTATCGGCAACTGCACTTATGTATCACGCAGTCAACGGCTTCCGCCACCGATTCAAACACTGGTATACTTTCACGGTTTGCTAGATCCGACAGGTACATGCGGCCTCGATTGTAGTCCTTCACAGCCTGCTTGGACAGCTGAAACACCAGTAGCTTTCAATATTATGGAATGAACTATTCTAATTGTACTGATGACAACACTGCAAAGCGCATGTATGAAGAAGAATCCTATCATTACCCTCTGATAACAGAACAATCACATACAGACACTACAGGACAAACCAAAACAATGCAGGCATAGAACCAGGGTTTTCAAACAAAACAACAATTCTGAACATGTGACATCAACTAGTTTAGTAGATGGGTAATGAAGATTTCAGAGGAACTTGCTGCCTCCATCATCAGGGTCACTCTTCTAACTTAGAAAGTTCCTCTGAAAATGTCAGTGCCTTTCTACCAAACTATGCTGGGTCACATCCGAGACAACTGTGATCATCTTATTCGTTGACATAAGAACCACTGCAATCTCAAGAACAACTGTTCTGACAGAAACTGCCTGCACTGGTTTATAACAAAATAACTGCACAATTTCCAAGTAACTTCTTTCCTTGTAAAGATATACCATTCATATGATGGCACCATGGAAAAATTAATTTGCTTAATTGTGGAACCAATGCTATTCCTCATGACTAACAGAAACATGGGTGCCATTGTAATTTTTAAGGGGCCAAACAGGTAACAGTCACTTAGTGTTAGATCTGCCACCATACATTACACCAGTGGGACACTGGGCAAATCCCTGCAGACTCATATCATCCTGAATGTACAAGTTTTTGCAGCACCATTCATCACTGCCCCATGGATTCCTTGCACATGCTTTCTTGGAATTGATTCAAAATAAAATCAATGACTACCAGAATCAAACAACACACAGAGTTCATTTGGAGAGGTTCAATCTCAAGAAATTAAATGAGGTAGAGGGTAAAGAGCAGTACTGGGTTGAAATCTCAAATAGGTCCGTCGGCTACCGAAAACTTGGAAACTGAGTTGGATGTTAATAAAGCTTGGGAAACTATTAGAGAGAACATAAAAATGTCTGCCAAAGAGAGTCTAGGTTATTATGAACCGAAGAAGCATAAGCCATGGTTCGATGAAGGATGCTCAAAATTATTAGATCAAAGAAAGCAGGCCAAATTGCAATAGTTACAGGATCCAAGCAAGTTAAATGGGGATAATCTGAACAATATAAGATGTGAAACCAGCAGGCATTTCATGAACAAAAAGAGGGAATATCTAAAAGACAAAATTGATGCGCTTGCAATCAACAGTAAGATCAAGAACATTAGAGACCTGTATAGAGGAATAAATGACTTTGAGAGGGGTTACCAGCCTAGCAGTAACTTAGTGAAGGATGAGAATGGTGATCTGCTTGCAGATTCCCACAACATTTTGAATAGGTGGAGGAACTACTTCTCTCAGTTATTGAATGTACATAAGGTCAGTGATGTTAGGCAGACAGAAATCGATACAGCTGATCCGTTAATACCTGATCCTAGCCCTTTTGAGGTTGAAGTGCTATTGCAAAATTGAAACGGTATAAATCCCAGGTAGTGATCAAATTCCAGCAGAACTAATTCAAGCAGGAGGCGAAATATTACGTTCTAAGATCCACAATCTAATTACTTCTATTTGGCATAAGGAAAAATTGCCTGACCAGTGGACGGAGTCTATTATTGTACCAGTTCACAAGAAGGGTGATAAAACTGACTGTAATAATTATCGAGGGATATCACTGCTATCAACTTCATACAAAATTTTATCCGATATTCTTCTCTCAACGTTAAGTCCATATATAGATGAAATTATTGGGGATCATCAGTGTGGGTTTCAACGTAACAGATCAGATCTTTTGCATTCGTCAGATATTGGAAGAAAAAAGGGGGGTACGATAAGACAGTACATCAGCTATTTATAGACTTCAAGAATGCCTATGATTCAGTTATGAGGAAAGTATTGTACAATATTCTGATAGAGTTTGGGATATCCATGAAACTAGTTAGCTTCATTAAAACGTGTTTAAACAAAACACACAGTAAGGTCCATGTAGGTAAACATTTGTTTTATCGCTTTATCGCCACTCCTTCTCAACTTAGACTTAGAATATGCCATAAGAAGGTCCGGGGAAACCAGGTTGGATTGAAATTAAATGGGACACATCAACTGTTGGTCTATGCTGATGATGCGAATCTACTGGGTGATAATGTAGATACCATAAAGAAAAACACACAAACTTTAATTGACACAAGTAAAGAGGTTGGTCTAGAAGTAAACACAGAGAAAACTGAGTATATATGTTGCTGTCTCATCACCAAAATGCAGGGCAAAATCATGACATAGATAGGAAACAGATGTTTTGAAAATGTGGCACAGTTCAGATATTTGGGAACGATAACAGATCGAAACCTGATTCAGGAGGATTTAAGAGGAGACTGAACTCTGGTACCATTCAGTCCAGAATCTGTAGCATGAATGGGAGAGACGAGGAATGCATATAGGATATTGGTGGGAAAGCCAGTAGGAAAGAGACCACACAGAAGACCAAGGCGTAGGTAGGTGGACAATATTAGAATGGATCTTAGAGATAGGATGGGATGGTATGGCCTGGATAGATCTGGCTCAGGATAGGGACCACTGGAGGGCTCTTGTGAACATGGTAATGAACCTTCAGGTTCCATAAAATGCTGGGAAATTCTTGAGTAGCTGCAGAATTGGCAGCTCCTCCAGAAGAGTTCAGCTCCATGAGTGAGTAAGTAAGTATGTAAGTAAGAAAGACTACCAGAATATGAGGGCTGAAAACAGAATAGTGCAGCTAGAGGAGACAGCTGTTCCTAAGCAAAGGCATGGTACAGAACTCTCTCCGCGACAATGAATGCACATGCAACAGAGGAACCACTGGACCACTGACAGGCAACAAATGTTTTCTATGTGGTATGTGCTGATGCTATATAATGAGTCAGTCAAAGCCATGGAGAACAAGTAGATTCTAAAGGGTTCTGACGATGGTGGATGACACACAGAATTACTGGGTTTTTGGACTTTTTCCATCATCCGGAATTCCAAGTAATAGAGGACACAATGTTTCGGAAACTGGATATGTTTCCATCTTCAAGTGAGAAAGGAAGACACCTACTCAGTTGGGCTCCTTTGAGAGGGATCCAGTGATTGCGATTAGCTCATTCTAAGGGGCCCAACTGAGTAAGTGTCTGCCTTTCTCACCTGAAGATGGAAACACATCCAGTTTCCGAAACACTGTGTCCTCTATTACCTAGAATTCTGGACAATGGAAAAAAGTCCAAAACCAAGTAATTCTGTCTCTCCACAGAGAACAGCTAACGATGTGAGCAGAAGACACAGTTGGGATCTGTTACCAGGCAACCACTAGTGAAGGCAAACTGAAAAGACTCTGTGCATGCTACAGTGCATTTTAAAGTGTGTGAATTAGTGAAAGTGTAGTTATTCATTAATGTAGTGTTCTTAATTCCAACTACCAATCCAAACTCTGTATCTAGTCATTAAACATGTTGACAATATACTATGTCTTTAAAAGAAGGTAAAACTATCCCTGTAACAGGCTGTGGAGGCCCACAAGGTTGAGAGATGTTGAGGCTCCCACATCATCTAGACCAGCCGTGTCAAACATGCAGCCCCTCAACTTTTAGAGCTAACTGATATTAAAATCAATATTAAAATTTTAGTAGAAATATTTTTTGTAAAGACAATTTTCCAACAGACCGGAAGACAAGAAGTCTCACGCAGACATAAATTAGCAGGCTGCAGGAAATTCAATGTTTTGCTATTTCTAACATAATTTCTTGTGTAATCCCTTTTTTTACATATTGAAAAGCTGTTTGATACTTGTCAAAAATGGCATTCTCTTGCTTTTTAAAACTGTAAGATATGTGACTTTAGGTAATTATATTGAAATTATTCCTAAATAATGAATAGAATTAAATTTCCTTGTATCAAAATCTAATGTATATTTCTATTTTGAAGTGCGGCCCTGGGCTATTATTTATAGGGCTGAGGTGGCCCTCTGTACAAGTTGAGTTTGACATGCCTAAACTAGACAATCGGCTCACAGATGGTGGGGAGGTTGTCAGCCCTATGCACCAGCCACCAGATTCCTGCGACTCATCTTTGTTAGAGGCTAAGTTAAACCCAGGGCCATTGTGCAGCTAAGGGTTAGGTTATGTATCACATTCCATCAATCCAAAGTTAGTCCAGAATGACTTCAGAAAGTGGAATGTCATATAAATACACAGACTCTTCACGTAAGATATTCAAATGCTTCAAATATATCCATAGCAAATATGGCACTGGAAAGGAAACCAGTCAAAATTAATGGGCAAGGTAAAGATAGCCACACTATGAAGACATATACGACCACCACTTTTAACCTCAGAACTACTCGGTGGTGACAAGAATGTCACTTCCCTGTACCAAAGGACAAAACACCAAAAGATGTGCACTCTGAATTACCTCTTTTAGTTAACATGTGTTTACATTCTGAAGAGAGAGCCTCACCTTGTCATTCCCAATGATGGCACCATCCGACAAGTGCTGGACACACAGCACCACATTGCAGTTCAGACCAATATAGTGAGCTGCCTGTAATGAAGAGCACACACATAAGCTGCTTCCATTTTTCTTCTGGTTGCAGCGGTGGCATGAAACTGAGCCCCTCAGTCCTGTGGCCTCTAATGTGCCTATTCTTTTGGGGGTTATTTTGCATAACTTTCAGCATCCGGACTACACACAGGAGGAGAGGTCAATATTCTGGGATGTCACAGTGATGGTCATTCTAAGCAAAAGCAGTGTATATGTGCAAGAGTTCGCTGTACAGTACACTGTACAGACAAGCAACATGCCACGTCCTCACACAAGTGGCAAAGTGCACTGATGCTGACAGTGGAATTTTCAAAAATGTATTATACTAGCTATCCACTAAGGTTGGCACTAACTTCAGTGACAAGAGGTGGCTGCTCAGTCGGTATATTTTGTTTGAGGACTAAAACCAGATTTTCTTCTACTTTTATTATACTAGGTAAACTGTACCACTTTTATTACTTCAACAATAAATACCGTTATTACAAACAGCACGTAATGTCTCTTTCTTATCAACAATTTTGGAACTGTACAGTGAAATAGCTCAACTCAGAAACCATTCAGATTAGGACACGTACATACACACTATTTTGCTTAAAATAACTGATACTATGACCTCCTAGAATACTGTCCTTTCCTCCTGGGACACCCTGTATAGCATCAAATGGTACAATGATTGATAAGTGATAAATCTGAAAGGAAGCAGTCATAGCCATAATTAAGCTAATATCGTGCCATTTGCCTGGAAGGACTGAAGAAAGAAAACCTAAGTCTGGATACCTGGTGTCCTAGTTGAGGTTCAAACCAAGCACCTCCATATAAATACATGTTACCATTCAATAAACGTTCTTGGTAATGGGCCTACTGCATCAGTCCCCAATGACAGATGAGTGTGGAGCACACTGATGCATTCAATAACTAGCAGACAACACACTGAAAGCAAGTACAGTGGAACCTCGCTTAACAAGCATAATTCATTCCAGAATCTTACTCATAATGCGAAACACTCGTTAGGCGAAACAATTTTTCCCATATAAATTAATGTAAAATACAATAATGCATTCCATGCCGAAAAAAATACTCAAAAAATTTTATGTATAACGTTTATTCAAAGAAAATTATATATACATTGCTAAGGAGCGTGAATCATCTTCATCTTTTCTTCTATGCGGAATGGACCAACCTGGAATGCGAATTCGATTTGCAGAAAACAAAGAAATAATCGAAATAATTAGTTTATTATTTATGATACATATCTAATTCTTTTTTACTCGAACACTGTCTAGACACATTTGTTTTTGCCAACGCTTCAAAATCTGGTGAAAATGCGACACAGCATTATCATTAAATAAATTTGTAGCGCGCATAGCCACTGCCTTATTAGGGTGATGCTTCTCAATGTACGATGCAACAGTTTCCCATGCTTTCAGCATTTCTCTTATTGCGCCAGAAGATTGTTGCTTTGCTGTTACCTCCTCCACCTCCACCTCCTTCTCCTCTGACAAACTCTCCTCCACAACTTCTTGCTGTGAAACACAAAGCAACTCCAAATCGTGCAAATCGTTGTGTAGACCGATTGTATGTGCGTGCTAGATCAGCCACGCTCACACCTCGTTCCCGCTTTTCAATGATTTTACGTTTCATTTCTACAGTTATTTTTATTCTCTTATGGCTGTCTTTTTGCGGCTTTTTCTTCGGGGACATTTTTGCAAGGGTTATTAAACTTTGCACAAAAAAATCACAAATAATATGACTGAACACAAGTTTGGAAAAATGTGTGATCACAAGCGACACTAAGATGCTAGCGGAACGAGTGCTAAACACAGCCTGATGTAGCAAGCGCACAATCCGGGACTTCCCCTCTCATCACTCGTTATGCGAAACGTCGCTCCTTAAGCAAGTAATTTTTTTACAATTTGTTTTGCTCATTATGCGAATTACTCGTTATTAGAGGTGCTCATTAAGCGAGGTTCCACTGTATACAGATTCTGATGATGATGTGTGCAATAATACATTAGTCTGGACTCTGTCCATTTTTTCAGTTTAGTAAGATAATTACATTTCAGGAACTGGTTCTATTTCAGTCTTCAAGTGAAGAGAATGTTGGGGTGGGGGGACACTGTTAGTTAGCCTCAAGCCTCTGTAGCTGCATCATATGTTGAAGCTGTTTCATTTGTCATGCATTACAGCTGAAATTCATCCAAAAGGCTGGAACTACAATGAGTACTGAAGCATTGCAATGGCTTCAACATATGATGTAGTTAAATCCCTGTAATCCAACTTACACAACTTTACCTTGTCATAAAATATGTCAGACAGAATGATCGTCCTCAACTAGTGAGGTCAGAATCAGTTTCACAACATATATGACAGCAACAGTCAGTAAATGGGTCACAAATGGATATAAAATGTAAAAACATGTGATATTCGAACCTGGGAAAAAAAAGCATTTATTTCTCATCATATCCTCCACCAACAGTGATTCACTTGTCCCACTGCTTTATCGGTGCATCAAAACCAGCAGCACACAAGTATTCTGACTGTTGTCTCAGCCACTTCTGTACCTCCATTTCGACCTCTCCATCATCAGCGAAACTGTTTGTCACATTTCTTGACCCAGTTGTGAGCCATTTTACATGACAAAACTTCCCACCATAAACAGGAAAACATTTCTTTATGAATATCCTTTGTATTGAGTCCTTTTGCTCACAAAAAATGAACAACAGCATTTAGACTACTGAAACCATGCTCTAAATAAGCGAATGGCCGTCTGCTACCTAGACCTTCACAAAGCTGGACTCTGCTGTTACCTAGTGATATGCATAGAAAACCTATTACATCCATTACACCTGTTTTACTTTCCATTTGTGACCTACTTACTGACACTCCCTCGTGCATATGAAATGTACGAGTATATACTAAAGGTCTCTGCAAACTAATGTAAAGCCATACTTTACAAATGAAGCTGTGACAGACCCACATCTCGAGTTTGAGAGAAGGAAAGCAAACTTGGGTCTCATGGAAAACTTGGAAAATTGTAACAATCTCTTTTACATTTTGGCTGACATGCATTTAGCAGTAAAATCGGTCAAAAGTTGTCTGTGAGTAGTTCACAGGCACAAAATATTTCAGTACTAAAAATTATCATCCATTAATCTATACAATTTTTTAATGGAGTGCCATGAAGTGAAGAGAATTCATGATCAACTCAGGTCTGGGACAGTCTATTTCGTGTACCACATTCCAGTGCAAAACACAAATTTTATATGCAATATAATCTAAATTATGCACACTACTAAAGAGGAAAAGGTGCCCAACTACTGAAAAACACAACCCAAATTTGGAAATGTACACATAGCGTCCATTTCATTCAATTATTCTGAAAGCATATTACTTATGGAACACTGGATATGAAATGAAGAAAGCAGTCTTCTGGGATGTGGCACCATGTAGATGTGGTGTAAACCGACGTTTCGGAGGGTAGAAGGAAAAATAAGAAATCCGTGAGCGAAGAGACCATGAGAACCGGTACAAGCAGACTGGTGTTGGAAATAAACACAGCTATGTGAGAGCTGTGAGGGGGGGAGTCTACATGGGAAATCGGTGAAGTGGGAGGGGGGGGAAGGGGCTGGGAACAGAAGCAGGGTTTTGTATAAGATGATGTGTCAGGGTAGAGAAAGGCAAGGTTAAAGGGAGGGCACTAACCCTTAAGCTGGGGGGTGGGGTGGGGGTTGCTGTGTTAGTCGGTCATGGCCTGTGTAGCCTTGTGGATCTGGCGTCATGTCCCAAGGGGATTTTTAGGGAACAGATGACAGGCTTCCATGACTTGCCGAAACAAAACCCCCCTTCCCTGTTCATATCTTCGGGATGGAGTTCAATCTCAATGGCCTCCCTAATAATGTGATCCATATATCGGTCTTGGTGGCAAGGATGGAGGTATTCTGAAGCTGAATACAGTGTCCCAGATTGATGCTGTGTTCAGCCATGGCTGACCTGTCCGGATGTTCGAGATGGATTGCCACTGATACCCCTTCAACCCTGTCCACAGAGTGGCCCGTCTGCCCAACATAGACCTTGCCGCACTCATATGGGATACTCTATACACCCGATGTCCTTAGTCCCAGGCTATCTTTGGCCGGCTGGAGGAAACTGGATAATTTGTTTGGAGGCAGACCCACTGCTTTGAAGTTGTGCTGGGACAGCGCTCTGCTGATACGGTTGAATATAGTCCCAACATAGGGAAGAAAGGCAACTGAGCCCAGTTTATCTTCAGGCCGGCTGATGTTGGGCTGATGGTTGAGAACTCTGTGGATCTGCCGGTTGTTGTAGTCATTCTTCCTGAATACATACCCCAGGAGCACCAATTCCACATGTAGGCTGTCTTGATCACAAAGAGCTTTAGCCCTGTGCACCAATGTGTAAAGTGCAGCTTGCTTGTTGGAAGGGTGGTGGTGGGATGCAGCGTTAAGGGAGAGGTTTGTAAGGGTGGATTTGCGGTACACTCTATGGGCCAGAGAACCGTCGGGTCTCCTGTAAATATCTATACTCCTCAGTTTCAGAGTCTCCATTGTGAACTGAATGCACTGGTGGATACTGTTTAGGTGGTTCAGGAAGTCCTTGAGCTTGTTGGGCCCGTGTGGCCAGATGATGAAGGTGTCGTCCAAGTAGTGACACCAGCAGTGGGGCTTGTGCAGGGCCAAGTCAAGTGCCCTCTCCTCGAAGTCCTCCATACATAGGTCAGAAATGACCGGAGAAAGTGGCGAGCCCATCGCCACACCATCGGTTTGTTCATAGAACTGGCCGTTGAAGTATGAGGTGGTCAGGACATGGCGGAAGAGTCTCAAGATGTCTTCTGCGAAATGTCGTCCTAGCAGATCCATCGTATCCTTTATAGGCACCCTGGTGAAGAGTGACACTACATCAAAACTGACCATTATGTCGTGGGGATCGACATGGAGAGAGCCCAATCTGTGGACAAATTCCATGGAGTTACTTACGTGGTGTGGACCGTTGTCAGTGTATGTGCTCAGTAGGCCAGGCAATAGGTAGGAGAGCCAATGGTGCTCACAATGGGCCTTTGTTGAATGTCAGGCTTGTGGATTTCAGCACGTCAGGCTTGTGGATTTTCAGCAACCTGTAGAGTCTAGGTGGCCTGGAACCTTGAGGTCGTAGCTGTCAGCAGACCTCCTCAGCAATCGGGGACTTTTTCAGGAGAAGAACAGTCTTGCGCTCTGTGGTATTGGTTGGATCCTTCTTCAACTTCCTGTAGGCCTTATCCTCCAAGAGAGCGGCGATCTTTCAGTTGTAGTCAGATGTATCCAGTACCATGGCTGCATTAACCTTGTCAGCCAGAAGGAGAGTGAGCACCTCATTGGTTTTTAAGGACCAAAGGGCTCTTCTCTCGGCACCAGTCAGGTTGTCCTTGGGTTTGCGGGAGTTCTTCAGAATCCTGACCGTCTCCTGTCGGATCTCCTCCGCAGTCTCTACAAGCAGGGCCACTATCGCCTTCTCCACCCCACACAGGATATCCTTAATGGGAACGGACACCGGAGCCACAGCAAAGTTGAGGCCCTTGCTCAGGGGCGAGAAAGCCGCTTCATCCAATGGCACATCACTCAGGTTGACCACTGTCTCTTCTTGCTGTCAGGTGGGCCGGGCTGGTGTTGGGCCTCATGCAAATATCGAAACTTCTTGCAGTGCCTGGCTCTTACATCATCAGCAAAGCGTAAAGCCTTCTCACTAGTGATGCAGCCGATCAGGTCCCAGTCATCGGCGGACAAGCCCTGGGTCAAGCACAGATGTAATTTAAACAGTTCTCTGGACACAACGTTCAGCTCCCTCCTGGTGTGGTGATGGTTAACACATCTACACAGTGCCACATCCCAGAAAACTGCTTTCTTCATACTCACCACCATGAAAACCTCAAATCTTACAGGGATATGAAATGTCTATTTTTTGAACACAATTTTTGTTCAAAGCATTTTTCACTGCAATAGTTATTCAACAAATTATGGACAAAAAGGGCTACATGGAAAGTGGTCATTAAACTTCTAAATGAACACTGGAGTCATACGACACCTCTCTGTACAATTCTCCAATACCAAATTTCATGAAAATTAAACTAGCTGTTGTGTATTTGTTCCATTCATCACGAATGATGCACTCAGAAAACCTAACTGGTGCACTGCAGGGTTCTGAATGCTTCTAAAAAGTTGCACAAATATGCCATGAACTGGATAATTTGGAGTATACTGTACATATAAACTTGTATGGAATATTTTGTGACGTCCTATATGACGTCCATAGACCAGGTTATAAAAGTACAGCTTCGAAGGGACCAGACAGTTCAGTTTGGCTTTGACTAAAGCAGCAGCAATTGTGATACTGAATCTGTGGAAGTGCAGGGGAGATTGGCCAATAAACTTATTCACTCAAATCTGGAAACCCACGTGAATTACTGTCGCGTTACCTAGGAAACACCATGACAATATGTATACATTCATTTCTACACCATGAGGGGTAACACATTTTTAGTGAGATTATGAAGACAATGAAGAACTTAAAATGTTTCAAAAAGTTAAGGGGACTTTAGGATATTGCGTTATGAACGACTTCACATTAAGAATTACTTTGTTTTTGGACTTTTCCCATCATCCAGTATTCTATAATAGAAAAAACAATGTTTCAGAAACTGGATGTTTCAATCCTCAGTGGGGAGGTGTCCCTTAGAAAGAGATAACTTCAATCACTAGACAACCTGTCTGAGTCTACGTTATGACCGACAGTCAGTTGGCCAGTCTGTCTTTGAATAAATCACCCATCTGGGGCTAAGAACCAGATTCTTATTACTGTCTGATGGTTGCAGTTTTATTGCCATGGGACACACTCTCTGACAAGAGGATGGGTCTCTCGTTTACAACTGCTGCTGGTCCTCGCCAGCGCAGTCATTCTCAGATCCAAGTCCCATGGGACTCTTTGACCATATTTTACTGTCCCACATTCAAAACTTCCCTTTTCGTAGCCTCCTACAACTCGCAGGTCTACAATGGAGGTATTCGACCGTGCCTCCACACATGTACTTGGTTTAGTTGGCTAGGTTTGTAGCACAAATTTCTACCTCCTCTTCTATCATAGTTCCACACCCGAGTGTTCTATCAATTTTTATTACATATTTTGTTATCTCCCGCTGAATGAGCCTAGTTTCAGGTGATTAAATAGCTTCAGTGAATCTGACAGGGGCAGTCCACTGATTGAGGTTAGCACTTTCTAAGGGACCCAACAGAGTAGGTGTCTTCCCCTCCTCATCTGAGGGTGGAAACACATCCAGTTTCTGGAACACTGTTTTTTCTATTTTCTAAAAAGATGGAGAGTCCAAAACTCAGCAATTCTGAGTATTATACACCATCATCACTCCACATTAACTTCAACAAAAGCATTCACTATTTAGCCATTCAAGCTTAATTTTACTTGGTCCACTTGTCTTATTTGCAAAAGAAAAAAATTTCTTCCTTCTTAATATATTGTAACGTGTTTAGTTACTGAAGACGCCGTTCGGATTGTTATTCCGTATTTCCGTATTGAGGGGGTGGGTTTCCCCATGCACTTAAGACCGGTTACTGGTCCATTGTGCGTCCCCCTTTAATTTCTACTGTCTCCATACCCTACCGGTACTGGTGCTTACTATCAGCCTCTTTCTGCACGCGAGGTTCCAACCTCTTACTGGCAGTGGTATCTAATAGTTAGTCCCTTTCTGTCAGCGAGGTCATCCCTCCTCTGGCAGGGGTTCCTAGTCCCTTTCTGCCAGCAAGGTTTCTACCCTCTACTTGGCAGTGGTATCTAATACTTTAGTCCCTTTCTGTCAGAGAGGTCCCCCTTCCTCTGGCAGTGGTACCTGATACTTCCCCCATCTACCGGAGGAATTGGAAACTAGTTGGGCGGGAAACTTGGCCTAATTTTGCTCAGAGGTCTCCTAGAGACATGAGGTTCTTTTACGTGCCGTAAATCTACAACATGGGACCCACGTCTTAAAGTCCCTCCCGGAGGACTTGTTCCCTGAATTTTTCCACCCTTAAAAATTCCACGACCTCCGCCGGGTTTTTGAACCCGCGTACCTTGAGTCATGAGGTGGGAAAGTTACCCCTAGACTATGGAGGCCGCTTTCGGATTGTTAACTGGTTTATTTAACAACCTACAAGTATCAGCTACAATTAATTATAACAATGTTACGGGTTTCCACACTTTACAAACCCTACAACCAAATCTCTTCACACTATCACGATTCACTCTTTACAACTGAAATCGGCGACTACTACAATTCAACTCACTCCTTACTGCTCACTGCTGGCTAGATTCCGACTCAAGTCGTAGGCTGCTGCCTTGAGAACTGTGTCACTCCTGATCACACACTAACTCTCGCTTGCTGCTCAGCCGGCTTTTATTCCGTTCACTGTTGCCTGTTGCCCGTGTCAACAGCGGCGTTGCGAGCCATGTCACAGTATGGGGGGGAGCGCTGACTCACCTGCTACGTCACCATGGCCAGAGCTGCCACATCGCTGCTGGGGAGGGAGGGGGTGTCCTCCATTGCACAACACGTCACACTGCTCCCTCCTTAAGGCTGTTCATCCCAAATAGCCTAACGGTGCATCCCCGTTCCATTTCTTTGGAGGCTGTTCTTGCAGCATCTATTATCCGGCCGTTACAACCGCTCCCTTCTTAAGACCAGCTCGTCTCAAGCGGTTTCCTTTCAACTTGCCAGAAGATCCGGTTGTATCTCATTCATTCGTCACACATTCACTCTTCCTCAGGAAGCTGGTACCGCTACATTACTGGTTCCTCCTGTGTACTCTTCCACTTTTTTCGTTTCAGAGGGGGTCGACCCCTCCACAATGTCAAATCCTTGTGTATGATTTCCATGAGAAGTTCTTTATGTCGACGTAACAGCACTTGATGTGTGCTATTTGCACTTACTGACGTCGTCGTTCCTCCTGGTCTTCCCACCACTTGCTGGCACGAAACCATGGTGCCAAGTCCTGTCTCCAGCATCCAAAGGTTCCCTGGGGAGTTTCTTCTTGAAGGCATCTCTCCAATGTCGTGATACTGTTGCGCGACGGGATACCTCCCTGCAGGTGGCAGCCAACTTCATCCGGGATTCATAATCTCCTCGGGTCCAACATTTCCTGAAGATGTTCCTCCGACGCCATGCCACTGTTGCATGGCGGGACACCTTCCTGCTGGTTTTCTTCTGCCGTGCCACTTCCACACGGAGGCTCGTCCTTCTGCGGGCTACGGCCAACTCCTTCTGGTGTCCACAACTTCCCCATGTCGGATTCTTCATATTTTGCTTATTTCGGTCCTTACGCATTTTCTTTTTTGGTTCTCCGTCTGGCATTACTTCAGCGTCTTTTATGGGTACCTCCGTTGTTCTGCCACCTCAGGTTTCATGTCCACAGAGGCCAGCTTTTCATCTCCTGGGTGTGTCTCCACTTCTTGGCAGGCCATCGTCACTCCAACCAGTATTACTATGGGGACCTTGTCCTGGCTTGGGTTGCTCTCGTCTCTGCGGCAGTCTTTTCTCGCCAGGCGGCCATCTCTACTCACCAGGCTTTCGAGTCTGCGTCCATTTTCGCCTCAATTATTGCCAGTATTTCGCTTATTCATTGTATTTCTTGCTTCTGCATTCTAGCCATCACTGTTCTCTCGCTCTGTGCAGGTATCACGTGGTCCTTTGCCACTACTAACCTGGAAGGGCAGAGTCCTGCCCTGGGCTCCATAACGATACTTCTTCCACCAGACACAGAGTTTGGTGCCCTATGTCCAAAGATGCATCATAGGCACGCAGTATGTCCAGTCCCAAGATAAGCTCATCGGTGATATTCGCGACGAAAACCCACATTTTAATCAGTCGGCGCCCTGGGGTAAGGGTCATCAGAACTTCTTTCAGGATGGGTAGGGATCCTCCAGACATGGTCTGCAGCATGAAATCTGGATTTGGCTCTTTCAGGCCATCCAGCGGCGATATCCGGTCTTACTACCATGACATATGATCCAGTGTCCACTGTCACCTGGCACAGCTTATCACCGACCCATCCCTGGGTGACCAGACAGGTGTTGGCTTTCTCCGTAATGTCAGTGAGTGCATAGTATGGCAGCTTTAATGCATATGACGGCCTTCGCCCTTCTCCACCGGCCGTCGCTTGTTTCCCGACGGTTGGGTACCCTTCCTGTTTGTGTTCATTGTGGCTTCTTGGCAATTCCCGTGTGTATCTGCCTGGCCTTTCTTCATGTTCTCGGCGCATTTCATTATTAGCCTTTCTTTCGTAAGGGCAGTTATTCCCGAAGTGGCCCAGTTCTCCACAGCTCCTGCACCCGGATTGTCTTCCATCTCTTCGTTGTGTGGGAGGTGATTGGTACTTGCAGTATGTCTTGGTGCTATCTCCGCGAGGCCTGGCTGCTACCAGTACCGCCTGCAGCTCTAGTGCTTGTCGGAGGGCCTCGTTTACCATCTTCTCCCCTCCCAACAGCAGCTGAATCTTTATATCAGCATCTCGTAAGCTGTATACGAAGGCTTTTCCTGCCTCTCTTCCTATGTGGTCTGCAGGTAGATTGGGGTAGGCACGACAGGAAAGAAGTTCAATGGCCGTGGCAAAGGGTTGCAGGGATTCTCCAGGTTTCTGTGTTCTTCTTCTTAATCGACAGTGGTAAGCAGCTGCAAAGTGTTGGTCCCCGAAACGGTCCTCCAGTGCCTGAAGTGTTTCCTCGTAAGTTGTATTTGTCGGAATGTCGGGTAGCACTTCTGCCACCCAGCCCTTCAGAGCGGTGATGAGCTATGTTGATTTTTCCCTGTCCGTCCATTGGTTGTGTTCTGCTACGGTCTCGAACTGTCGCCGGAACATGCTCCACGTTGAATTTCCGTTGAATGTCGGTGGCTGAGCTGTGCTCGCGACGATTGTTGATTTATTTCCCCGCTCAACCTTCATCTGTACTACGTCCAACCGGGCCTGGAACTTGCGTTTGGTTTCATCAATTGCTGGGCAGGTTTCATTGTAGTTTTTGTCAGGTTTTCCTGGAGTTTATCTGTCTGCGCGCAGAGGGACACTTCCACTGACTGCAGTTCCCATTGTGTTTTTCCAGTTCTTTCTGTAAGCTCCTGAAGCTTTACTTCTGTCCTGGTTTGGTTGACATCCATCATCTCCTTCAGTTCTTTTTGGTCGGCCCGTCTGTCATCCTCCAATCTGGCCAGCAACTCCTTGAGGCCGATCTCCACCTTTTCTTGACAGGAGTCTAATTTGGCAGTTTTCCTATCGGCGTCTAATTTTGCCAGGAAATCCTCTTTGTCTTTCTTTCGATTGGCCTCCATTGCTTCCTTCCCGGCCTTCATCTCTTTCAGCATTTCCTCTGTCAGTTTTCCTATCAGCCTTCATCTCTTTCAGCATTTCTTCTCTGTCAGTTTTCCTATCGGCCTTCATTTCTTCTTGATGGACTCGGAACATTTCCTGCATCTGCACTAGGCATCTGAACAATTTTTCCATATCCATCATGTGGCAGTACAATTCGTTTCAATAGTTTGTCCTGAGTTAAGGCATGTTTAAGTTCGTAAACAATTCTGACACCGATGTAATGTGTTTTGAGTTTGAATCTTGTTGGTCACGTGTGTAAGTCCAATCTCACTTCTGACACCAATGTAACGTGTTTAGTTACTGAAGACGCCGTTCGGATTGTTAATTGGTTTATTTAACAACCTACAAGTATCGGCTACAATTAATTACAACACTGTTGCAGGGTTTCACACTTTATAACCCTATTCGCAATAATCTGTTCACTCTATCTTCAGTAGTCCACACGTATTCACAGTACGGGAGCTATGTAAGTGTCCCTGTATCACACACTCACAATTACACACACGTTCGGTTCTTCTTTCCGCGACTGCTGCTATACTCCAACTGTGTCACTCCTGATCACAAACTTAACACTCGCTTGCTGCTCAGCCGGCTTTTATTCCGTTCGCTGTTGCCTGTTGCCCATGTCAACAGCGGCGTTGCATGCCATGTCACAGTATGGGGACGGGGGGCACTGACTCACCTGCTACGTCACCTTGGCCAGAACTGCTGGCTGCTGGTGAGGGAGGGGGGTGTCCTCCATTGCACAACATGTCACAATATATTGTAATGTGTTTTTGACACTGAAGACGCCATTCAGATTGTTAACTGGTTTATTCAACAACCTACAAGTCTTAGCTACAATTAATTATAATAATGTTATGGGTTTCCACACTTTACAAACCCTACACTCGCTCTTTTCACTCTATCTTCAGTAGTCTACACGTATTCACAATAGGATACGGGAGTTATATAAATGTCACTGTATCACACACTCCCAATTCTCATTCTCTTGTGAGCCAAGCATCTGCTTCTCACGCTATCACTTCTAATCACACGTTCTGGTATTCTTCTTTCCGCTACAACTGATAGATTCCAACTTAACTGTCTCTGGCGACGGCTAGATTTCAACTGTCTTCGTAGGCAGTGTAGTTCTCTTACAAACCCTCAGACGGACAACGGGAAAACGCCTTGCTTCATTGTTGCCTAGTCGCCTGTTTACCGGTGTTGCTGGGCAGCACTGTCTAGAGTTGTTTCCTGCTGTGCAGTAACCACGGCATCCCTTGGTCACGTCACCACGGGAGGGGGCAGGGTATTGACTGGCCTATTACCGTAGTAACAGCAACGCTCTGAAAGTGTTACGTCACCGCTGGTGGGGTAGGGGAAGGAATGTTGACTTGCCTGTTACTGTAGTAACAACAGCGCTCCGATGCTGCCACGTCACCGCTGGGGAGGGGGGGTGTCCTCCATAGCGCAACACGTCACAATATTCATTATTTATATGTTAACTGGTAGCAATAAAATCACTGTAATTGAATGAATGAGACACTACACTTATAACATCTCTGAGCATATGTTATACCTTGAATAGACAACTTTATGGAACAATAAGAGCAGCACGCATTCAATGTGATCTGCAGCACAGAAATTCTGGTTCCCATTCCACTCAGAATGGCATCTTAGCAAGTTTCTAACTGTAGGATAACAATCTGTTACTACCTGATGATGATGGTGCAATCTCAAAAGATGTTTCGTACGCATTATATACTAAGAGAAATGAAGATTTTCATCACAAGTAACTAATATAAAATTGGAACAGAAGCAAAAACTTTCAAAAGAAAGGGTAAACAAACTGGAGCATCTAAATGAACAATTTCAGTATTTGTAGATTTCTATGTTCTGGCATATAACAGCTGTGTAGTCAGTTGAAAGTCAACTGACATTTCAGTGGAATACCTTTGTCAGTTGATTTTACATAAATGGACTACATGGCATCATATTTCAGACAAGATAGGATTATTTCTAACCACTGCTGTGACAACCTCCAATCCTACAATTCCAGCAGCTGTAGGAGGTGAGGTTTTCAGAGCAGTGTTTAGGAAGAATCCTATCTTATGGGATATAACATTGTGCAGTCTGGTGGAAGTCGGCAGATGATTTGGAGGAATATGTCGCCTCCTGAAGAGTAATCCAAGCGTGAAGCACTTGTGCTTGCTGTCTGCTTCAGGCTGATTTCTTGTTCGGTTTATTCTTTGAACTTGAGGACAGGAAGCAACATGTTCCTCTGATATATCAGACGACTTTCAATGGACAACACAGCAGTATATCCTAGAAGACAAAACTTTTAATTCCAGTACCTGTTTGAACAATTTAGAAACTCCTTACTACTAAGGGGTTTCTGGGTTTTATCCACCTCTTTAACATACCAAACAGAATAAGTTTTGAAAACTGCACCTGCTTCTGTCCTCATTTGAAAAGAAGGGGGACAGCCTAGTCAGTTGTGTCTGACAGAAAGAGCTAATCTCAATCACTGGACAAAAAAAAACACCCTGCCAGGATTTAGTATCTGCAATTCTGAATCTTCAGCACGTTTGGTTGTTGCTATTGTGTCTGCATACATACCAGAGCCATAGACGCTATGGACCGTGTCATGCTGGTAATGACAAATAACAAGACATAACTGTTGTCCATTGCAGCTGCCTCAATTGGAATAAGACGTTTGCTCCACTGGCAAAGTTGTGGGTTGAAGAACGTTAGGCCACTCTTTCTGAAAGAGATATATAAAGAAGGTTGGTAATATCATCTCTGTGCTTAAGTATGCATGGTATCATGTAGTGGGAAGCACACTCTAACATCAGCAATAGCTGTGTGGTCAGCTTCACACTCCTGCTACTTTACCCCTGGGAAAAGGATCCCCCCCACACCCATCAGATACAAGTCTCGCTCTGGATGCTGTGAGGAAGAAAAGAAATTGTAGCCTTGGCTGGAATCAACCGATTCCTCCATTGTCCAGAACACTGCCTACCCGCTACACCAAATGAACTATATGAGCTCCAAATCAGGTTAGTCAACACTGTAAATTAATAAAAAAAATATGTTTATTTGAATAACCACTATATGAGTATATACAGAAAGTGTGTTACTGACACGCCATGCCACCTCCTAAGTCTCAAATTCTCAGATGGACTTCCAGTAACTTTTGCATGCAATATCCTGACTTATAAAGAGTTTGGATATTAGTACCCAGATGGGATTTGTGTTTTCTTTGAAGATATATACAAATGTTTATATTTATTTCTTGAAACAGTCTGTAAGAAAATTAGTGTCCTTGAAGGAAAAATTTTTATTTGTACAATAAATATGTAGCATTTTGGTTAAGGCACTATGCTACAAGCCAAAGGTCTTAGGTTCGATTCCCGATGTCAACGGATTTTTCATTTAACTTAATACTTCCAGCCGCACAATGGCACTGGGTTCCACTCATCCTCCAACAGAAATGAGTACCAGGAATCTTCCAGGAGGGGGGGGGGTTAGATGGCAGCCAGTCAGTACACAAGGTTGAAAACCTCACCACCATCTGTAACCCAACTGTCTAGAAAAAGTGGTAGCTTCAACATCTCACAACCCTATGGGATTGCATGGCCTGCTACAGAGATAGCATTACTTTTTTTTTTAACTTACTTTACCATTTCAGCATAACCAAACAATTCTAGTACACATTTGGTTATTCTCGTTAACAGAAGGAAACACTAATAAAAACTGAACTGGAGGTATATGCCCACATATTCTTAACCTCAACAATAGATGGAGGTGAACAGGCAACTTCATGCCCTGATACAGGAGACTTGGTGAGTATCAAAGCAGGTCTGGACTCTGTGGAGAAGAGGACAATCTCATACTCGGGCTGTGAGTCGGACCCAAAATTCCTCAGCTGTTTAGATCACAGCCATCACTATACTGATCTCTCTGATTCTCTTCTGTACTACTTATGCAGACTTGAGGCAGATGCATAGAATACATGTCTATTTCCTAGCAATGGATGTCTACTGTTGTCCATAATGTGCGTCTATCAGTCAGTTACCTAGCAATGGATGTCTTTCTATTGTTAAGCGCTTGTCACAGAAATGTGTCTGCTGACTCATGACATAGCAATGGATCTACACGTCACAATTTAAACAACTGTACAAAAACTTAATGCCAATAAACTTTAGTAACTTATTTATAGTTTCCTTAACAACACTCAGTGTTGAACTGTATCATGATTAACCAACGAACTGGAAAGGGAGGCAATACTGCAATTTACCTGGAGAGACTGAGCAGAATCACAAAAAAAAAAAAAACAGGACAGCCGAGTGTCTTGGTTGAGATTCGAACCAGGGACTTCCCAAACGTCAGAAATGTAAGTGCTTGAGCCCACTTAACTTGGACTGATCCCTGTATACAACTGTGTACCATGAGATACCTGTGAATGACCAAACAGCTCCGATGAATGGCATTTACATCTTCACCGCAAGCCAAGTGGCAACAAGAACTTACTTCAGCATAGGGATGGCGATGTCTTCCCTCCAGGTGGTGTTATGGCATGAACCGCCCAGGTACACATCTCGCACACAGTTGCTCTGGGTGTTGGGGGGAGAGCCCAAGGGCAAGGACCGCAGCGGTCGAGGTGATAGTGCCCACTCTATAATGCATACAACAAAACTTCAGATGAATACAATACAGCACCCTCTACTTCTCTGTGACTAACACACACAAAATGCATCTTGTAAACATTACAAATTACTTGACGTGTTTTCCTGTCTTATCCTGACCTTATCAGTAATCTTACATTAATCCTTATGCTTAAATTACCTGGTATTACAGAGCTCAGAAAGTTCAAATCCATAATNAATAACAATAATAATAATTCGTTACAAAAAGAAAATACAGAGTAATAATTCTGGTGCATTTGGTCTATATTTATGCCTCTTCAGTATATGATTTGTTCAAAATCACTCCTACAGTCCTTATGTTATGAAATGACACACCATAAAAATGTTTCATCTTTCCCTCCAACTTTTTTCAGAACATGTTCCATGCCAATAAATATTTAGCGAGTTATGGTCGAGAGGAATACAGATCTCTGCCAGTATGAAATTTAATTAAAATCCATTCAGCAGTTGTTATCTATAGAGACAAGACAGAGCTTAATAGATTAATGTTTGTGATTTTGAATTGCAAATACAACAAAAAGCGCACAAAAGACAGCTTTGATAAGGCTGTGTACTGTTTATATTATATCTGGAGACTGACACAAAGAGTCACAATCACAATCTTGATCATCTAAAGAGCTGTAAGATAAAATTTCTGCATTTCTGCATTGATTTTCTGTGTCGGTGCCTATACACCTACCTGACAAACATGTCAGTACTTCATGCTTTGTCTCAGGTTGAAACACACACTGCACTGGGAAATGCATGGCTTTTGACAAGCTTACCAGCATGTTACTTCTTGGTGTGTACCAGCTGATAAAAAAGAATCACTATTAGTAAAGGGAGAATTTGTCCCTGCACTTAATTTTAGCACTGTAGAGGTGGAGGTATAGCTCCAGGCATTCTTAACGTTGGCACTAGGTGCAGCTGAGTGGTGGGATTCCAGCCCCAACTGCTTTCCCCCAAAGTACCCATGAGACAGGAGGCTGATTCCTCAGCGATGCAGCTTGCAGCTCATCATTATGCTGTTATCACAGCTCCTGATTGCTGCTAACAGTAAACCATCACTCATCTGAAGTAACTGGGTGGGGGGGACAGGTCATCTCGATTAAGCAACAATCTGGATTAGTGAAGCAGAAGGTNAAAAAAAGGGAAAAAAAAAAAAAAAAAAGTAGAACACAAATACATGGAAAATTTAACGACATAAGTAGTTCTGATGAAAATAAACAAAAATATATCACTGTATGAGCCTTTATTTAAAAATTACAAAAAGGCAATACATTTCCCATCGACAGAAGACTCAGTAGTTGTACTTGTTTCTGAACATAATGTCGCATGTTGCCTATGCAGCACGAAAGATAACTTGACGTGGGTCTCGGTTTTATAGCATATATTTACTGAAAGTTCACTTTTACACACTGTGCAGGGAACATTCTGAATCATCCTGTGTCTTCAAAATGTTCTAACATATTCATGATGTGTATTTGTACCAACCATCTTACAGTGCACAAAATTTCACCTTTCTCTTCACTACATGTTTCGGCACTAATGTGCCATCTTCAGGTGTGGTTTTGTTTACATCAAACCATTGCACTGTATGCCATCATGCCTCCTTTATAAAATGATTAAAATGTAAATATGTCATGTATAATAATAAAATTTATATATTAAAAATTTTCAAGATTTATCATCTATACGTCGCACTTCAAATTCACGAGTTACGTCAATCCTCTCCTATGGGAGTACTCTTCCTATATTCTTGTGTATGTTGTGTCCTGTGTTGTGTCCTTCCCTTGTGACTGCATGCGTTGTATTGCTCATTCTAACATAACCTTGCCTTTCTCATCATGAACCACGACAGTAATTCCCGCATATGCCTACTAATATTAAAATGAAAGCCAGATTTATTTCCAAGATGGAGTAGTTTAGTTTTTAATGAACTTGATGTTGTCGGTTACCAATACAACAACACAGCAGGCAGACAATGAACAGATATTATAATTTGGAATTAAAACAACTTAGTACACATTAGTACAACACAACTTAGTACAACATGCTGTATCATAACATGCTTCGAAACATGAATACTGTTATAAAACTTATATTTTGGTTATTATAGTTATTTAATTCCTATGTCTGAAATTCGTGATTAACTGCATGACTAATTTACCAGAATCACTGCTGATCCTGCCATTACCGCCAGTATCTCCTAACCTTCTGTAACGTCACAATTATCTATCCAATGCGAAGTATTTTCATTTTGGTTTGTTCATGCATACCCAGCAGTGTTACACAAACTGAGAGGCCTTCAGTTAAACTGTGTAGCGACCCACCACCCTTGGACAGGAAACAGTGTAGGGCAACAATGGTTTTTTTATTGCTAGTGGGGTGGGACTAAGTCCCTTGTACTGCGGCCACTTCTGGCCTACTGTACCAGCCCCAGATGATAGGTGAGGGTGATTGTGGAGCTGGCTGTAGCTTCATGGTAAGGATTCTCTGTATGGCCCAAGCAAGATCAGGGTTTAACAGTGGGCCTGGAAGTGATCTGATTACAAAGAATCACTTAAAATTGACAACATTAATCAGAACAGCGCCACAGTTACTGCATTCTCTGATATAGAGTTTTTAAAACCACTAATCAGGCCCAGTTATAGAGTGGAATACACAACTGAACTGACAAAATTGTATGATGGGAAGTCATGTTTTAATTATTGCCATGAGAAAATCATAATTCCAAGATATTGTTCTATACAGGAGACAGCCCATTTCCTGAGCTTGCCGAACAGTTGAATTTTCCCGTGCCAAGTGAACAGAGGGAGCCACCAGAAGGGGAGGAAGCAAAATGGTGATGTTGGTAGAGAAAGTGGAGGCTCGCACTGTGATATGGTTCCTGGAATTGCAAGGGAAATCTGCCAGGGAGCCCCATGACCAGATGACTGCTGTGTATCAGTGGTCAGGTGGAAGAGGCATTTCATTGTGGACAGACAAACCTCGAAGATGAACCCCAAAGTGGAAGACCATCTCTCGCTGAGGAACCGGGAATTGTGGCATAGGTGGAAGCTTTGATCCTATCCGATAGGCACATAACTAACAAAGCTATTGTTCATGAGGTGCGCATTAGCCATGGGTCGGTTTTCAACATCATCCATGACGAGTTACACATTACAAAGATCGCTGCGCGTTTGGTGCCATGATTGTTGACAACAGTTCAAAAACAGCAACGAATGGATGTGGCAAAGACACTTTTGCAGTTGTATCAAGACAAAAAGGTGGGAATTTTTCAACCACCTGATCACGATGGATGAATGCTGGGTCTATCATTGTGACCCTGAAACAAAGGAAATGAGCAAGCAGTGGAAACATGCAGTCTCACCACCACCAAAGAAGGCCATATCCCAGCTGTCATCGGGAAAGGTGATGTTGAGTGTGTTCTGGGATCAGCGGAGTGTCGTCATGACCAACTACACGCAACAGGGCGACACCATCACTGATGAGTACTACTGGAACCTTCTGAGAAAATTATGGGAGGAAATCAAGAAAAAGCTATGCAGAATGCTGGGAAAAGGTGTGCGACTTCTTCAGGACAACACACTGGCTCATGCTGCTCATGCTACGACGACACTTGCTGCCAGTTTGGGATATGAAATTCTCCCCCTTCCACCAGACCTAGCAGTGAGTGACTTCCTCTTTCCATGGCTAAAGAAACTACTTCATGGTAAGAGATTCCAAGATGATGATGTCATTTCCGCAGTGGAGGACTTCCTAAACAGTCAAAATGAGACCTCCTATGATCAAGGCATCCAGCAGCTAATGCATCGTTGGGGAAAATGTGTGGCCTTGCAGGGGGCATATGTAGAGAAGGGCTAACTCATGTACAGTTTCTTGTACCTGTCTCTCTGCTTCTTCTGAATGTTAATTAAAATTTTATGACCTCTCCACATACGTTAATGATCTGTTCTTAAATCACGTACAAAATTAGATTTTAAGCACATCCATGACCTTAATATTACTTCTAAAATATGAAGATATCTTAATGTAACAAATCACATCAACATTTTTATGGAGGTGGGATAGTTCATGTGGTATAGTGACTATGCTACAGGAACTGCGGTTTGAATCTTAACATGGTCAAGAGATATTTCTCTTCTCCACAACACAGAGACTGGCTCTGGAAGCACATCCAGCCTCTTATCAAATTTATCAAAAGGGTGAAAGCAAAGGCAAAGGAAAGCTATCCATGTAACAAGCGAGATGTCAAGGCTCCCACATATTCCAGACAATTGGCTCACAGACAACAGTAAGGTTGCCAGCCTTATACACCATCTGTCCCCAGGACTCCCCAGGAAGATTCCTGGTACTCATTTCTGTTAGAAGCTGAGTTGACTCCAGGTCCATTGTGTAGCTGGTAGGATCAGGTCGAATGGAATATACAATGACCTCAAAGGGAATTGAATCCACAATCTTCGGCTTGTAGCACAGTGCCTCAACCAACTACACTACCACGTGCCTCCTATCAAATAGGTACCAAGGGTAATTTTCTCAGAGGTACTGTGCCAGGCATGTGAAGCTGACCACTCACCTCCCTGTAGCGCACAGCTAAAGAATAGTTGAGCTACACCAACATTTCTTCCTTGTCTTCATGGTGTGGTGCTTAATTAAACACAGAAATTACTTTATCTCTTATCATACTATCATTGTTTACTGTCCAGGAAACTGGATGGAATTTAAATCTTCCACTCCTACAATGTTGGCAGCTGGATTTTAACTTAGGCATAATGATACTTATACCGCAAACAATGTGAAATCAGGCTGTGCATGCAGTCACAGAAGTGAGATGCACGGACAACAAAGATTAAATGTATAACAAGAAATGCAGTTTCCCAGGCTTTCATTTTGTACGCAGGCCAATGGGTCATGACTTGCCAAGTCTCTAAAACTATGTAAGATTTGAGGCTTTCACGGTGGTGACTATGAAGAAAGCAGTCTTCTG